GAGAGAGAGAGAGAGAGAGAGAGAGAGAGAGAGAGAGAGAGAGGAGAGAGAGAGAGATGCACACTAATGAGAAAATGAGAGGCTTGGCTGTTTCTCCTTCATGATTCTTTTAATGGGGTCAATGCCAGGATATTTGAAACTTTTGCAAAATGGCCTGCAGGCTCCACCTCTTTGGCCTTTGCCTCTGCCTGACGTTATTTTGGGAAGAGGGATAAGGGCCTCCCTGTGATTCCCACCAAAGCGTTTGTGGTGGCTGAGAAGGGCTTGTTTAAAGAATGCAGAGTGCCGGGCCGAGAGGGAATGGCAGTTCACGCTGGGGCAAAAGCCGGATGTGCAGTGGGATCGGCCAGGCTTTGCTCAGGGAGCCTGTCCTGAGGAGACCTCGTGGGCTGCAGTTAGATTGGAGGCCCAGAGGTGCTTCCTGCCATCAGTACAGACCTTAGCGCACGTTGGCCCTCGCTTATCTGCTGATAATTGGATGCTTCAGATGTTTCTACTGACACGGGCTGCATTTTAACCGGTTGTGGAGGAGCTGCTCTTCTCTTCTGTCCTTGAACCCTCTGTGAACGTGTCCCATCCAGCAGCTGTAATGCCACAGCTTTGGGGTTGTCTTGGAGCTGGTGGGATGAATTATGCATTATGCACAGGTGTCCACACTTCCTTTCTTGGGCCCCCGTGACTTGCATTCGCGAGATCACAAGCCAGGGTTTGAGATGCGACATTAAATTCAGGCAGAACCGCTTAGACTGGCTCTAACATCTTCGTGCACTGTTTCAGGGGCAGAGGTCTTACATTCCCTTTGGTATTTAGGGCTCAGGGTTTCTATGTCATTGTAATGAAGCAGTGATATATGGTTATTTTTCTTCTAATTTTATTTTTCTTTTAAATGACTTTATGTTCACCACTTAGGGATTTGTCTCTCTTCTGGGCAACTCTCACTTATATAAATGCCACTCACCATTGTTGCAAGCCGCTGCCAACAGACGGTGTATATGAATTAGTGTTGAAAGAGGTTTTGGATTTAGTAGCACAGACAACTGGCTTATATCCCTTTAAACTAAGGGGGGTTTGGCAGAGATTTGAAAATAGATAACTTTCCCATCTGTTTCTTGAACTCTGTTGGGTATCCAGTTGCAGAGCTGGTTATTATTGTCATTTGTCCGTAATGTGGAATGGACTGACCTCCATGTAGAAAAAAAGATGGCCTGATTATGGATTCATTCATTGTTTTTTAATTAGTAATTCTTGAATATCTTCTAAGCACCAAACACTGTTCTAAGCAGTTGGGAAATCTCAATGAACAAAAGCAGACAAAAATTCTTGACCTTGAGAAGCTTACTTTCTAGTATGTGTGCGTGCGTGTGTGTGTGTGTGTGTGTGTGTGTGTGTGTGTGTATCTGTGTGTCTGTGTGTCTGCATAGGGGAAGATACTAAATGATAAACATAATAAAGAAGCAAGTGAAATAGGGTGTTAGACAATATAAGTGCTTTGGAAAAAGTAAAAGTAGAATGAGGTAAGGGGGGTGGAGGAAACAGGATGGAGGCAGGGCAATGGATGCTATTGAATTGAGTGATTAGAATAAGCGTCCGATAGAAAGTAGATCTGAACCAAGGCTTGAAGGAGGGGAGAGTGAGAGCTCAGCAGAATGAGTAGCCAGGCTGGAGGTCCAAAGGTGGGAGTGTGTCTGGCATGAGCCTGTGGTAACATCACCTTCTGTTTTAGATCCCCCCATTTTGGTCAGTTATTGTCCTTTTAAATGCAGGTTGCTTCTGAGACACAGTGCCTGCATTTGGAATGACCCAGTAAAACTTTCCAAGTTGAGTGGACTGGGCATTCTAGAGGGATAGGAGAGCCAGCAGGGAGGGTAAGGCGCAAATGGAAGTAAGCAAAGTGATATGATAATAGCTACCATCTATTGAGTATTTATTATCTGAAAGAGCGGGCTGGCTTCATGTGCAGCCCTACAGGCACCCGCTCCCACTTGGTGTGGTGCTCTGCTGTCACCATCTGGAAATCCTTCATAGTGTCTTCCATTTTGCACTGGGTCCCCCAGATTCTGTAGCTGGTCCTGCTGAAAGGCATTGCATTGAGTGCTTTACAAAAATGATACCGCCGAGCCCTCTTAAAAATGACCCAAATGAAGGAGTCATTTTTATTATTTTCATTTTACAATTAAGAAAGAAGAGGCTTACTGAGCTTAAATGACTCGGGGAAAGGTCTCACAGCTCATTAGTGACAGAACCAGAATTGAAATGCAAGTCGGCCTGCGTCCAAAGCCTGGGTTCTTGCCTTCCCTGCTGTATGAATGGGGAATCCAGGCTTACAGAGAAGGAACCAAATCAGAGGATGGGAGAGAATGATTGGAGGGTGAGAACCTGCTGAGCCTCAAGGCAGCTAATGTTTAACTGAATTGGTGGTGCTAGCCACCAAGCCTATTTGCTCTAAATGTGCATTTAGTTTCCACATGCATGATTGCTGATGCCCTGTTTTAGCAAACGTGTCACCCACCTGACTTTAAAAACATGGAAGGTTCAAGTTGCCTGTGGTTGGGATTCTATGGTCTCGCAGGGGCCTTCTGTGAGCCATCAGGAACAATGTTTTCCTCCTGTGGCTACTTAGGAAGAAGACTGCTTGGTCCAGAAGGACAAGGGCTTAGAGGAGACGGGTTCAAAGTCTACAAAATCGTGAAGCACATAGAGTGAATATGGAATTGCTCGTTAGATCCTGGATCGTTAGAACTTTGGGCCTCCTCTTGAAGTTTAAAAAAAAAGTTTCCATACAGATGATGAAATATTATTTTAAATCAGTGAGTTGTGCACTTATGAAAGGGATTTGGAGGTCAAGAGAGGGAGGGAGTTATTTACACACTATCCCTATTGTACTGTTCAGATTTGTACCTGCTGAATGTATTTAGAAAATGAAAAATGACCATTTAAAGACACCACGTAAAACCGGACTAGAGGTAATTTTAGCCTGAGTTTCCCTGAGGGCAGAGGGGGTCCTGGCATGCTATTAACACTCAGCACCACTCAAGTCAGTGGAGGCCTTGGGTAAAGAATGGAGGAATTGGGAATGCTTGCTGGAAAGGGGCTCTTGGGGGCGGAGGATTCACAGAGGGTCTGTGTCTGATAAACGTCGTGATCTTGGCAACTTTCTTATGTCTCAGTTTAGCGATCTGGAAAGTAGGGATTCTGTCAATTATTGCAATGATTTTATCTTTGAAAAAAGGCATACAACAAGACGTACCAAGTCTTTTTTTTTTTTTTAAGATTTTTATTGGGGAATTGGGGGGATGGGAACAGACAAGTTGTTGTAGTTTTGTTCTTTAGTCTAGTTGTGGAGGACGTAGCTTCACTGGCCCAAGTTGGCACCATCATTGCGCTCTTCCCGGGCGAGGCAGATCAGTCCCCGGCTTCTGGACGGCCGCTCACGCTGGCTGCTGGCCACACACGGTAGCCCATGGCAACCCACTGCCACAGGGGCTGCAGCCTACGCCGTTGCCGGCGACTCATGGCAGCCCAGCTCCAGGTTGAGCTGTTGTTCAGCATCTTAGCTGTAGAGGGCAGTGTCACTGGCCCTCACATGTGGGATCCAAACCGGGGCCTTCTGGCGTCCTAAGCGAGTTCTTAACCGTCGCGCCACTCGGCCGGCCCAAGAAGTACCAAGTCTTTGCAGAGATAATGATAGAAGTTCTGCTTGTTTCAAACGCTAAATTCCTATAAATCCAGCTGTTTGTAAAATGGCTTAGCGGCTATGTCACTTAAATTTGATACGCAGTTGGATATTAAAGTGAAGTGACTTATTCCAGACAGTGATAGTGGGGAGTTAAGGGGACGTTCAGCCTGCCTGGTGTCCGGATGTGAAGGCCATCTGGCTGCCACATGTGGCGCTGCTTGCCGGAATGGAGTTGTCTGATCTCATAGGTTGGTGGTGTCCCCTTCCTCCTGCCTGGCTCGGCGACTCAGAGGGCTCCACCGGGATGCTGAAGCTGGGGGTTTGCCCCCTGCTGCTGGCCCCTGGCCAGACTCAGGGGGAACCTGAGTCCTCGTGGCTAGAGAATATCATTCCTCCTGGTCACCTGACCCCCACAAACTGAATAATGATTTCCAGTAGGAGACAAAACTGTGAAGCACG